AACCCCAAGGTTCTCGGCCTATTGAGTGTGTTGACCTCCAGCTCCTGTAACTGCTACTCATCTACCTAGCTGTTTGAGGCTGAGCTCCAATATCTGGGCCTAAAACTCGGTTGTTTAAGGGTTAAGCTCCAGTATCTAGCAAAATCCCTTTTCCTGGATCGAACCTTATTATTTCTCATTCCAAGAACACTGTATCATCTCTATAGAGTTGAAGACTCAGATGAACCACAGGGATGTTAGGAAGTATTCCTTCAATCACAGAGTTGTCAGGAAGTGGAATAGTCTGGGTAGTGATGTAGTGGAGGCAAGATCCATACACAGCTTTAAGACAAGGTATGATAAAGCTCATGGAGCGGGAAGAGTGACCAAGTAGCGGCCAGTGAAGAGGCGGGGCCAGGAGCTGTGAATCAACCCCTGCAACCACAACTAGGTGAGTAAAGGTTTAGCACTTCCCAAATAATAATAATAATCCAAGCCAAACAACTCACTCCCGCCCATACAAACTAATATGCTCCTATAACCCCCCCTCCCCTTAACCTATATCCTCTCAAGGGCGCCTTGATGTCAGCAAAGGGCTCTTGAGTGCTAGTGCAATCAGCTCACACACTGAGGTCCTGGGTTCAAATATCCTCCGGTACAGCTGGAAAACATTAGGGACGTGTATCCATAAGACACCTGCTGTCCATGTCCCTGTTCACCCATCGATTAAAATGGGTACCTGGGTGTTAGTCGACTGGTGTGGGTCGCATCCTGGGACAAAACTGACCCAATTTGCTCAGAATAACAAGCGGCTTTGTACATAGTAGTATGTCATTGATGTCAGCTAGTCCTGTATACCTTGTACATGTACTTGTAGTAAATAAAGATGTTATATTATTATTATTATTATTATTATTATTATTATTATTATTATTATTATTATTATTATTATTATTATTAAAAACTGCATTCTCAAAGTGCTGTATTATTATTATTATTGATTCAGAACTTCCAAGTACATAATATTATTAATAGTCCAATGCCTCCAACAACTTGTTCCCACGACCCTACAACTTGTTCCCACGACCCTACAACTTGTTCCCACGACCCTACAACTTGTTCCCACGACCCTACAACTTGTTCCCACGACCCTACAACTTGTTCCCACGACCCTACAACTTGTTCCCACGACCCTACAACTTGTTCCCACGACCTACAACTTGTTCCCACGACCCTAAACTTGTTCCCACGACCCTATAACTTGTTCCCACGACCCTACAACTTGTTCCCACGACCCTATAACTTGTTCCCACGACCCTACAACTTGTTCCCACGACCCTACAACTTGTTTCCCACGACCCTACAACTTGTTCCCACGACCCTACAACTTGTTCCCACGACCCATAAACTTGTTCCCACGACCCTACAACTTGTTCCCACGACCCTATAACTTGTTCCCACGACCCTACAACTTGTTCCCACGACCCTATAACTTGTTCCCACGACCCTACAAACTTGTTCCCACGACCCTTATATTGTTCCCACGACCCTACAACTTGTTCCCACGACCCTACAACTTGTTCCCACGACCCTACAACTTGTTCCCACGACCCTGCAACTTGTTCCCACGACCCTACAACTTGTTCCCACGACCCTACAACTTGTTCCCACGACCCTACAACTTGTTCCCACGACCCTATAACTTGTTCCCACGACCCTACAACTTGTTCCCACGACCCTACAACTTGTTCCCACGACCTACAACTTGTTCCACACGACCCTACAACTTGTTCCCACGACCCTATAACTTGTTCCCACGACCCTACAACTTGTTCCCACGACCTACAACTTGTTCCCACGACCCTAAACTTGTTCCCACGACCCTGCAACTGTTCCCACGACCTACAACTTGTTCCCACGACCCTACAACTTGTTCCCACGACCTACAACTTGTTCCAACGACCCTATAACTTGTTCCCACGACCCTATAACTTGTTCCCCGATCCCCTACAACTTGTTCCCACGACCCTACAACTTGTTCCCACGACCCTACAACTTGTTCCCACGACCCTACAACTTGTTCCCACGACCCTGCAACTTGTTCCCACGACCCTACAACTTGTTCCCACGACCCTACAACTTGTTCCCACGACCCTACAACTTGTTCCCACGACCCTACAACTTGTTCCCACGACCCTACAACTTGTTCCCACGACCCTATAACTTGTTCCCACGACCCTACAACTTGTTCCCACGACCCTACAACTTTTCCCACGACCCTACAACTTGTTCCCACGACCCTATAACTTGTTCCCACGACCCTACAACTTGTCCCCACGACCCTACAACTTGTTCCCACGACCCTACAACTTGTTCCCACGACCCTTCAACTTGTTCCCACGACTCTGCCGAGTCTTGCTTTCGTAGGGAGTGATTTTCATGTGCAGGTTGTGGACTAGTGAAGTATAACATAACATACTGTGATGGAATATAATATAACGGAGTGTGATTGAGTATAACATAGCACTGTGATGGATGTTAAGTATGGAGATGCAGTCATTAAGAATCTCAATAAAACAATTACACCACGTCTTGTTATACAAAAGATGGGGGGGGGGGGTAAACCCGCAGTGTGCTGCTACCCTATCACATGCGAGTTACATGGTCTCAACAATAGTTAGCCATGTGTTTTCTTGAATATCCAAATTTCACGGGCAAGACATCGACATCATATCTATTTTTAACCTCTGTATAATGCTCGCTTCTCTCTCTCTCTCTCCCTCTCTCTCTCTCTCTCTCTCTCTCTCTCTCTCTCTCTCTCTCTCTCTCTCTCTCTCTCTCTCTCTCTCTCTCTCTCTCTCTCTCTCTGGGCAGGCGCGATTGCCATCATTTATTGCATGGACAGCTACGCTTGTCATAAAATATTTGTCATATTCCACTGGGCTGTGATTCGTACGTCAGTTCACGTGCGGTTAGCAGTAACAGCCTGGTTGATCAGAATCCTAGAGGGATTAGTGCCAAATTTGCACACAAAACTCACTCCCTACAAAAGCAAAAAACTCGGCTGGCTGGCGTTGCAACATCCCACCCATGAAAAGCCGTGGTGTCATGAGTATGACCAGACAACTATACTGAGTGACCAGTCTTGGGGAAATGTATTTAACTCTTGCTTTAATTACCTAAAATATTATAGTCACTCAGCGAATAGACTTGATCTATGCTTAAGGGGCACGTCAGTTCCCTTGGTTTTTTAATGTTATTTTTCCACTATAATCTAACTTGTCCATAATTATTATCATTTGTTTTGTCTGTTTCGTAAGGCGAAGTCCAGGATCTTTCTTTAATTTATGGCTTAACTTAACAAATCTTTGGTGATAATTATGCTGTAGAGGTCTGAACAGACCTTTACAACACCATGAGGCCTGAGGCCAGGCCTCATGGTGGATCAGGGTCTGATCAACCAGGCTGTTACTGCTGGACGCACGCAAGCTGACGTACGAACCACAGCCCGGTTGGTCAAGTACTGACTTTAGGTGCCTGTCCAGTGCCTGCTTGAAGACAGTCAGGGGTCTATTGGAAATCCCCCGTATGTATGCTGGGAAGCAGTTGAACAGTCTTGGGCCCCTGACACTTACCGTGTTGTCTCTTAACGTGTTACTGGCACCCCTGCCATTAACCACGTTGAATGCACCGCTTCTCGTCCGATCAGCGAAGTTAAGTAACGTTGGGCTTGGTTAGTACTTGGATGGGTGACCGCCTGGGAACACCAACTGCTGTTGGCATAAAATTTTTTTAAAGGACCCCAATGGAAATAAGTCACTCTGTCTGACTTTTTTGGGTTATCCCAGGTTCTCTACACATATGCTGCTATGTATAATAATTCTATGTAACTGTATTTGTGTATACCTGAATAAACTTACTTGCGAGAGCGTTGCCTACCAGGCCACGGGCCACGGGTTAGCTGCGTAATTGCAGTCTTGATCTGTGGTGAGGTCACAGAGATATAGCTCAACCTCACAAAGCAGCATTCATGGACCACAATGTATAATGGTTCAATAGTGATAATGATAAAAATAATAATCGTAATAATAATAGTAAAAATTAACATTAATGTAACTAAGAATGGCAATAATTAATAATTATGAAAGTAGTAGCATTAGGAGTAATGTTAACTGATATATTAATGGTCACAGACCGGGCCGCGGGGGGCGTTGACCCCCCGAAATAATATATATGAAATAATAACAAGGCAGTAATGTTAATATACCTTAAAGGTTAATCTGAGTAAATTATTTTTTCAAGAGGTCAGAAAGTAGTATGAAGGTCGTTGAAGCTTATAAGGATTAGTGATGTAATAGTGTGTCCCGTGGCTCAGCTGGCAACGCCCTCGCCTCACACACCGAGTGTCCGGGGTTAAATCCCCGGCACGGGTGGTAACGTTGGTCATGTTACCTTATACCTGCTGTCATTGTTCACCTAGTAGTAAGTAGGTACCTGGGTGTTAGTCTCCTAGCACCTGCCGTCCCCATTCACCTAGCATTAAGTAGGTACCTGGGTGTTAGTAGACTGGTGTGGGTCGCATCCTGGGAACAAAATTGAAGGATGACAGTAGAAATAAGACAATACATGATGTCGCACTTTCTTAGTGATATCCTGGGTAACTGACTCAGGGAAACAACCGAAGGAAATCAGACTCGATCCAGGGAAAGAGGGGTGCGGCTTCAATTCTTCGGATCAAGAGCCCATCACCTGAGGTGCATAGCAGTATAAGTCTTGTTAACAACATGTACATTTAAGTGGCACGAGCCACACTTTTCCTCCTTTTAAAACCACAAACCTCTTGAATAATCACTTATTTTAGGGTGGATTTTAAGAAAAAATAATCACAAGACGTACGTCACAACAGGAGAAATATTAACTCACACTTACAGATGGTGTATGAGAGTGAATGGTGTGTAATAAACAAGAAATAAGTTAAAGTTTGTGGGAGAGAGTGAGTGAGACTCACACAACTGTGTTTTATATATTACTGAGACTTGTTAGTCTGAGGCTTCCTGGCTGCCTTCAACCACCATTTATTATATTCTTACTCTCTAGAAAATGTTTAATATCTCTGGCACTTATAACATTCACATACGTCTCTGTGCTCTAGAACACTGAACACTATTCTTAACATATGTTTCTCTGGTCAAGTGTACAAAATAGTCTTTATAGACAATACTTCACTATAGTGATTATATAGTCTATAACAAAAGTTTGATGTAAATGTGGTGTCTTTCTACCATACTTGTGGTTAGTGTGTCTTGTTAAGTATTTTATAATACCTTAATATCAAACCAACATTCTGGTTGACCTTGAGAATGTATCTTCAGCTGGGCGCCAACCTTAAACTGTCAGACTCTCTACTAAGTCTCTACCATTTGTGTTTTACACAAGTCGGTTTTACAGGCTAAGAGCTATTATCCTGTTTCAGCTTATTTCAAAGCTCAGCCCTATCAAAGGTATACCCCCACCCCCAGGATGCCACCCACAACAAGTGAACAGGAGCAGAAGGTGTAAGGAAACATTACCAACATTTCACTGGAGTTTACCTGGAGAGAGTTCCGGGGGTCAACGCCCCCGCGGCCCGGTCTGTGACCAGGCCTCCTGGTGGATCAGAGCCTGATCAACCAGGCTGTTACTGCTGGCTGGAGATCGAACCCGCACATTCGGTGTGAGCTAAGTGCGTTACCAACCGAGCCATGGGACACCTAATCAGAACCCACTAATAATAATATATTTATTTACTACATGTACAAGGTATACAGACCATAGCTGACATCAATGACATGCTACTATATAGAAAGACCCTTGTTATGCTGAGCATTTCCCGCAAATTAGTCCAGTTTTGTCCCAGGATGCGACCCACACCAGTCCACTAACACCCAGGTATCCATTATACTGATGGTTGAACATAGACAACCGGTGTAAGAAAACACGTCCAATGCTTCCACCTCTTCGCCGGGAATCGAACCCGGAACCTCACCCTGTGAAGCGAGAGCTCTTGCCACCAAGCCACGGGGCACCGTGGAGGAGAAATGTTTGTGACATACAAGATATTCGAAGAAATTTATATGATAGGAATAAGCATACTGAAATGGAAAGACCAGAAACAAAAGCATTTTATTTATAGTCTCGGGGACGCTGGAAAAAAACACTTACAATCTCAGGTTAATAAAGAAGATAAACTGGATGTGGAAGTTATGAATGCAAACTTCATACACAGTTTTAAGAGTCGGCGTGGTAGGTAATTCATGGTTTAAGTAGTAGTGTTTTTGGCTCACAACTGAAGGACCTGGGATCGAATCAGGGACGGGTTTCCTTTTCCGACGTTTTATGCTTGTTCACCTACGTGTAACTCACCTGGAGTTACTTCTAGGGGTCACCGCCCCTGCGGCCCGATCTCAGAGTAGGCCTTCTGGTTCCTGGCTTGATCGACCAGGCTGTTGATGGCCGCCAACTGCAACCTAACTTAAGCACCACAGTCTGGGTGATCAAAAACTGGTAGGGAACTTATGATGCTCCTTCTTGAAGATAGCCAGGGGTTAGTTACTAATTTCCCTTGTGCATGAAGGTAAGGTGTTAAAAAGTCCTGGTCCCTTTACACTTAATGAGTTCTTGGTACTGTACCCATCGTACCCCAGCTTATCACTCGAAGTACTTGTATCTTGTAGTCAGGTTGTACCTGGGTGTGAACACTTGGGAGTGGGACCTTAGTGGTAGTACTTACCTATTTGTGGTTGCAGGGGTCGAGCCACAGCTCCTGGCTCCGCCTCTTCGCTGGTAAACCATACTGAATTACTTTTCCTGGGTTGATAACCCTCCAGGTTATTAATCCGATTACAATGTTTCATAAGGTCAAAAACCAGGAATGAAGGTCGATGAAACTTACTGTGATTATTATTATTCCCTTGAAGAGACTAAAGGATCATACATACACCGCCCTGGCAGGGAACACTGCCTCACCCTGGCAGGGAACACTGCCTCACCCTGGCAGGGAACACTGCCTCACCCTGGCAGGGAACACTGCCTCACCCTGGCAGGGAACACTGCCTCACCCTGGCAGGGAACACTGCCTCACCCTGGCAGGGAACACTGCCTCACCCTGGCAGGGAACACTGCCTCACCCTGGCAGGGAACACTGCCTCACCCTGGCAGGGAACACTGCCTCACCCTGGCAGGGAACACTGCCTCACCCTGGCAGGGAACACTGCCTCACCCTGGCAGGGAACACTGCCTCTCACCCTGGCAGGGAACACTGCCTCACCCTGGCAGGGAACACTGCCTCACCCTGGCAGGGAACACTGCCTCACCCTGGCAGGGAACACTGCCTCACCCTGGCAGGGAACACTGCCTCACCCTGCAGGGAACACTGCCTCACCCTGGCAGGGAACACTGCCTCACCCTGGCAGGGAACACTGCCTCACCCTGGCAGGGAACACTGCCTCACCCTGGCAGGGAACACTGCCTCACCCTAGCAGGGAACACTGCCTCACCCTGGCAGGGAACACTGCCTCACCCTGGCAGGAAACACTGCCTCACCCTGGCAGGGAACACTGCCTCACCCTGGCAGGGAACACTGCCTCACCCTGGCAGGGAACACTGCCCTCACCCTGGCAGGGAACACTGCCTCACCCTGGCAGGGAACACTGCCTCACCCTGGCAGGGAACACTGCCTCACCCTGGCAGGGAACACTGCCTCACCCTGGCAGGGAACACTGCCTCACCCTGGCAGGGAACACTGCCTCACCCTGGCAGGGAACACTGCCCCACCCTGGCAGGGAGCACTGCCTCACCCTGGCAGGGAAAAACTGCCTCACCCTGGCAGGGAACACTGCCTCACCCTGGCAGGGAACACTGCCTCACCCTGGCAGGGAACACTGCCTCACCCTGGCAGGAACACTGCCTCACCTGGCAGGAACACTGCCTCACCCTGGCAGGGAACACTGCCTCACCCTGGCAGGGAACACTGCCTCACCCTGGCAGGGAACACTGCCTCACCCTGGCAGGGAACACTGCCTCACCCTGGCAGGGAACACTGCCTCACCCTGGCAGGGAACACTGCCTCACCCTGGCAGGGAACACTGCCTCACCCTGGCAGGGAACACTGCCTCACCCTGGCAGGGAACACTGCCCCACCCTGGCAGGGAACACTGCTCACCCTGGCAGGGAACACTGCCTCACCCTGGCAGGGAACACTGCCTCACCCTGGCAGGGAACACTGCCTCACCCTGGCAGGGAACACTGCCTCACCCTGGCAGGGAACACTGCCTCACCCTGGCAGGGAACACTGCCTCACCCTGGCAGGGAACACTGCCTCACCCTGGCAGGGAACACTGCCTCACCCTGGCAGGGAACACTGCCTCACCCTGGCAGGGAACACTGCCTCACCCTGGCAGGGAACACTGCCTCACCCTGGCAGGGAACACTGCCTCACCCTGGCAGGGAACACTGCCCACCCTGGCAGGGAACACTGCCTCACCCTGGCAGGGAACACTGCCTCACCCTGGCAGGGAACACTGCCTCACCCTGGCAGGGAACACTGCCTCACCCTGGCAGGGAACACTGCCTCACCCTGGCAGGAACACTGCCTCACCTGGCAGGAAACACTGCCTCACCCTGTCAGGAAACATTGCCTCGCCTCACCCTGGCAGGGAACACTGCCTCACCCTGGCAGGAACACTGCCTCACCCTGGCAGGAAACACTGCCTCACCCTGGCAGGGAACACTGCCTCACCCTGGCAGGGAACACTGCCCCACCCTGGCAGGGAGCACTGCCTCACCCTGGCAGGGAACACTGCCTCACCCTGGCAGGAAACACTGCCTCACCCTGGCAGGGAACACTGCCTCACCCTGGCAGGAAACACTGCCTCACCCTGGCAGGAAACACTGCCTCACCCTGGCAAAGGAAACACTGCCTCACCCTGGCCCGGGAACACTGCCTCACCCTGGCAGGGGAACACTGCCTCCACCCTGGCAGGGAACACTGCCTCACCCCCTGGCAGGGAACACTGCCTCACCCTGGCAGGGAACACTGCCTCACCCTGGCAGGGAACACTGCCTCACCCTGGCAGGGAACACTGCCTCACCCTGGCAGGGAACACTGCCCCACCCTGGCAGGGAGCACTGCCTCACCCTGCAGGGAACACCTGCCTCACCTGGCAGGAACACTGCCTCACCTGGCAGGGAACACTGCCTCACCCTGGCAGGGAACACTGCCTCCACCCTGGCAGGGAACACTGCCTCACCCCTGGCAGGGAACACTGCCTCACCCTGGCAGGAACACCTGCCTCACCCTGGCAGGGAACACTGCCTCCCCTGGCAGGAAACCACTGCCTCACCCCTGGCAGGGAACACTGCCTCACCCTGGCAGGAAACACTGCCTCACCCTGGCAGAAAGCTGCCCACTCCTGCAGGAACACTGCCTCACCCATGGTAGGTAAACACTGCCTCACCGTCCAGGTAAACATTGCCTCGCCTCAACCCTGGAGGGAAACACTGCCTCACCCTGGCAGGAAACACTGCCTCCACCCTGGCAAAAAACTGCCTCACCCTGCAGGAAACACTGCCTCACCCTAGTAGAAACACTGCCACACCCTGTCAGACAAACATTTGCCTCACCTGGCAGGAAACACACTCACCCTGCAGGAACACTACCTCCCCTGGCAGGAAACACTCCTCAACCCTGGCAGAAAACTACCCTCACCCTGGCAGGAAACACTGCCTCACCCTGGCAGGAAACACTGCCTCACCCTGGCAGGAAACACTGCCTCACCCTGGCAAGAAACACTGCCTCACTGTCCATACGGAACCATGAAATGAGGTAATCAGACAACCTAGGAAGGGAGGAAGTTCCAATGCCCCATCTGTTTTTTTTTTTATTATCACACTGCCGATTCCACACATGGCCGAAAAGAAAAACTTTCCATATTTCATCACTGTCTGCCAAGGTCTTACACACAGTTTTAAACTGCAACATTAA